AGATATCGTTGGAGTTCGCTTATCCGATGTACATGCGCTATGTTGAACTAGACAAAGCAAATCTCCGGATCCCGCGCAACAGTCCTTGGGCATGTGTGCGAATGTGCGGCATCGATGATCAGTTGCTACGGGCCATCCAATCACTGTATTCTGATAGCAGGAGGTGCGTCAGAGTAAACAGCGTAAAGTTGAGGCCTTTCAACGTTGGCACTGGTCTCCGCCAAGGCTGGATCCTGTCCTCTCTCCTGTTTGTGTTGTACAGTCAGGAGTAGCCAAGACGATGAATGCATCGGTGTAGGAGATTTGAAGACGAGAATGCTGGTGTTTGCAGACGATCTTGTTTTATTGGCCTCTTCTGGAACTGACCTTCAGTGCTCCCGGTTCGCAGCCAAGTGCGACGTGACCGGCATGCGTGTGAACGCATCTAAAACGAAAAGCCTAGTGCTTTCCCGTTCTGCTACCCATTGCTCTGTTCATATTAAGGGAAAGGCGGTGGAGTAGGTATAGAAGTTCAAGTGTACCTCGGAGTGGTATTTACAGGAGATGTAAAATTTGAGGAAGAAATCGATCGACAAATGGAGTAGCCAGTGGCTTTCTAAGTGTAGTAGTCCGAATCACTGTGACTAAAGCAGAGCAAAGCCTGGAGACTAAGGTCTCGGTGTTCAAGTCGATCTTCACCCTATGTTCACCTACTGTTATGAGTTGAGGACCATGACTGAAAAATTCGATACCGATCATAAGCGGCTGAAATGGAATTTTGAGAGATGAGTCGCTGGCGCTGGCGATACACATCTTGACATGCTCCGAAGTACGGAAATCAGCAAAAGCCTTCTTCAGGTCGAAGAATCAAAGAAAGGAAGGCGAAGCAAATATTCCTTTTCGAGCCGGCCGGCAGAAGGCCCGGGGGGACGGCACCAAGTCTGTCCAGACTCCAGTTGTCTTCTGCCGAAGTTCAGATTCTGGCAAAGGATCGGGAACGTTGGAAGCTCTGTGAGATGCGTCTACTTTCGCGACCCGGAAGGAGAAGCGGTTATAGAAGATGAATATGCATAATTAACATGACTTCATTTGCCTTTAGCAGCCATCTTATTCAGGAATTCAGATCAGGCACGAAAAATTAGTTATTGACTTCGTTCGACTCTAATTAACCATATACGCAGCATCTCTTGGTAACAATTAATCTCTGTTCAATGATGAAAAATGAAAATGAATCAGGTATAATTAACGTGTTGTTTGTTAGAGAAGTTTTGAACGAAACCCCTGCAAACTGAAGAGAGTTAATGACTTGGTTGCAAAACGACTTGGTGCTAATCCATGTATTTCATTCTAAGAATATAGTGGACGATAACTAAAAGAATAATTTATGGCGCTCTAAAAAGATTGCACAATATGTCTTTATCTTTAAAGGAAAATCAGTGAGCAGATTTAGGTGATGCTGAGCTAATGATTTATAACGAATACCGTAGAGACATTAAAATTAGGATAGGGAAAAAGGGCAAAATCTTCATGTTACTTGCACAGTATCACATACCGGGTGAACTGAGGACCAATAGATCAGACTGGATTCATAGGTGTATTATGGTAAACCTGACCAGACTTCAACAATTACTGCATTTTGAAGGAAACAAGAGAGAAGACTTAAGCGATGTTCAGCTAATAATTCACAGTCGATACCGCAGACAGTCGCTAACATTGCAAATTTGAGAAAGCGATAAATCTTCATAATGTCCACTGCCGTTTCAAGTGAGGATGATTCTCAGTAGATCTGATTGGATAAACGACGCATCGCGGTAAATCTTACTTGGTAGAGTTTCAAATACAGTAAGACAAAAATTAAAACTGCGCAAAATACGGTTTATTTGTGTACCACGTCAATAATTTTGACAATCTGATAATTCGCCAATGCCGAAGTTTTGATGCTTTATCTTCTTCATGAGAATGAATCGAGCGCGCCTCAGAAGTTCTTCTAGATGTATGTAACGGGCACGTCATGAGGGTATTAATCATTCAATCTCGAGACAACGTCAACCATATCAAAGAATATAAGCTTTGAACAGATTTAATAATCCTTATCACCTCTGTCACCAGAAAACTAGTTTATCGACAGCACAGACAAGAAACTGATTATCTGGCTCTGAACTTACGAACTAGACGACCAGAAGACTTCTGATGCTCACTCACCTTCCTACCTTGAAGAATTTCCGTGTGACATAGACCATAGCGTCGATACTGATGAGTCATCGAATTGATGAAATTATTTACGTTGTTTTTAAGTAGACAGAGGTTTGTGCTATTTGGAGTACAACAACTAGAGCATGTACCAAATAATTAAAACAAGGAACGTCACAGAACCTCATAATACATCTTATAAATGCAAGTACAAGACAAACAATGTTTTCTATGTTATCCATGAAGACATTATTTTTGAGTAGCTGATTTGATAAACGTTTGAGGACGGCTGAAGAAGTCAAAGAGAGGGAAGATCTCATCGAATATGACTGAAGTAATATTGCTCGCCTCCAACTGAATTAAACAGTAAACACTTTGCAGTAACGCTCCAAGCATATTAAAACAACACTTTTATCATGCATATAGTGGACATTTGATATCACTGTATTAGAAGTTGCTTATCCTGTTTACTGAAAAGCCCTAGATGAAAACATGGCGCTATGTATAATCAACGGCTAGGAGTTTACCCGTGTACAAAAGATCTCACAGATTCGACTTTAGCTAAAGAAGTCATATCGTCCCCATGTCAAAGCATTCACGCATTTTTCCAACATGAAACACCAATCTGCGCTCAGAGACAAATCACCACGTATTATACCTGCGCACAAGGTACGGTCGGAAATTTCTTGACTGGGAGTTCCAAGACGATGATTGTGGTCAATGGGGATTATCCGTAGCGAAATGTCAGTGTAGGGCGGCAGTCTGCCAATCGTACTGTAGTACCGGTTTTGGCCAGGTACATGAGCAACCATCGACCCGTGTTGTTTCCATCCCTCTTCTTTGCCCACTTTGTACTCGATGTTGTAGCCAGCGATGTTGCGCGCGTTGACGGGGGAAATCCACTGCAACGATACGCTGTCCGAAGTACGCTGAGTGACCACGGGAGCCACTTCAAACTGAGGCAATTCTAAAATCATACACCGCCGTTTATGCCACATACGCTATTTCACCCATTCGTCATTAGTTTACCTGCGTCTTCCGTTTTAACCTGAATCGAAGTACCATCTTCATAGGCAGAATCAGTCTTGCTCTGAATAGAGATGTTGTAGAGCGTGTTTTCGAGCAGATCGTCGATGCGGTACTGCGTAACCAACCCGTCGACAGTGTAGTGACGAATATTAGTAAGGTCCGTTACAGGATGTGCGATTATCTGAAACAATGGGCTGCCCGTGAAAGGAGACAGAACTTCTCCGTATCTTACCCGGAAACCACGTATTCGCACCCGATCCTGAGGGCGGATGTTCCATCCAATTTGAATACTTCGGTCAGTGGCATCTTGTTTGACCAGATTCAAGATCTTCACTGATCCTGAAATCGATGACTATCACATTAGCTTCTAATCCGTCATCGTCGGCGAGAGAGATCAAAATACTATCACGGCAATTATGACTATTATGAAAATAACCAAGAAAAAAAACTGGAAAAATTTAAATTAACAGTGTGACAGATATTCATAAAACAGTTAGATTAAAATTAACATAAAATGGTATCTACTAAGTGCACTTTACCTAAGCCAGTTGTAACCGATTCAACATTACTCCATGGTCCCCAGTTCTTGCCGGATATGTGGCCGGCGACCTAAAATAAACACGGATGATTATCTAGTTGAACGGTCATGGTTGAAAATGCGGCAGCACAATTACCTGAAAGTCATACAGCTTTTCAGGCTGAAGACCGCTGATTTTGATGCAGTACAAAGATACGTTGTAAGGAACTTGGCTCTTCCATCTGTCCTCTACTTTCTTTGTGCAGTGCAACTGATATGCAGGATGCTCGTTTACCGACCACAGACCGGTCCCACCAATCGCGTGATTTACCTACAACCAGCAAGTGGAGAATAAATGAACAAAACGGAAGTTAATGTGACTTCATACCTTAAACTGATCGATCTGACCCTGCGGCGGATACGGACCCTGCCACATCAGTTCGACGCTGTCTGCAGTAGTGCCAATCACTCGCACAAACGGCGGCGCAGTCGGTTCCGCTTAAATGCAGATGCATAAATATTGAAGCGTTATGAATGATCACAAAGTTATTTAAATTTTGAACGGAAAGCTAACCAATTTAGTAAGCTAGAAGCGTTGCACTGAAAAAGAACACAGCTTTGTGAAATTCGAACTGAAGAATGCTTTCATGTTACCGTTACTGTTACGTATGGATTGAGGGTACTACTAGATCGAGACCTATAGCATGACGGGTGAGCCTGTTGATAAAGCAGTTTTCTACAACTTTCTGATTACTTGAACAAGGAGTGAAGGACAGAGAGATTTTGACTAAATAAACATAATAAAAACACAGCGGCACAAAAATCTGTCAGAAGCACAAATAAGGCAGACATAAAAATAGCAAAATAATTATATTGACCATAAAGAGTCTGAAAAACAGCAATGAGTGATCATAAAGTGGAATCCAATCTTAGTGTGAAGCCTAAGTTGTCAAACCGGTTGAATGTTGAATCTTCTAGGCAGCCCTCGCGCATCCCCTAATGATGATCTAACGGTTGACCTGTCAAGAGGCCAACGTTTCGGCATTATTTCACTCCAGATGCGTTTGATGCAGTTCATTTAGTCGCCATTTAGTCGTGGCGACCCCTTGATGTGCAGGAGTGCCGGGGTTGGTAACAACTAGAGATGCTCCACCCGTTCCCGCGCGTCAGCATTATAGCGTCGTTGATTTGTCCACATGACGCATGATCAGGAAGAAACCATCTGTGCCTGAAATCCGATTACCCAACTACCACATGAGCAGCAAGAAACCATCCCGAAATCCTGAAAATTCGTTGGTCCTTTAATAGTAAAGAACACTATAAAGAGGGGCATCCTTATGTACTGTATATATTTTTACGATGAAATGTGTATCTACTGAAGTAAATAAGGAACCGCAATTAGGCACCCAATATTCATCTGACATTTTAACTTGTACCGTAGAGGCCTGGTTCAAGATGACGCTGGTGTTCATTACTTGATGCTTACGTTGTGTGCAGCTATTGGTCAGTTTGAGTCGTTTTGCGCCATTCTGTTTGATACCATAATTGTCGTAGCTCATCGTCCTTTAGAAGACATAGATTGGGCACGTGAGGGGAGTATATATCGAGAAAACATCGGGGGATCATGCATATCACCATACAGATCGACCTTTCTTCACATCCTGTACAGAAACTTCATATTCGTTTTGAACTGGTCAAAAAGAACTATTGGCGGATACACGCAACCTTAACATGAATATATACACGACGCTCATGAAACTGAACAAGAGCACCCACCGAAACGTTATGTACAACAGTTACACCACCCTTACAGAGAATTTAAATCGTGGAATAGTAGGAGTAAACATATCACTGACTACTGCTTCCATCAAGAAGAATTTACCTAACACAAAAGCGTGATGAAGCGACCGAGCGGTTAGCATAAAACTGATTATAACAGCGAATTTTTAGGAGAAAGATCTTTGAGAAACTTTGAGCCAGTCATGGATCCAAACATAAATACAAGAGAAATAATGGTAATAATCACGATGATAACACGAAGAGCAAAATATGCAGTTGTTCATCATTAAGGAACCACCTGACGCATTCTTCCTTTAAAGAAGTTAATAGCGCAGTGCTGAAGCCGTCGTCCAGAAGTGCCTTATTTTAAAAGCAGAGTCGACAGCAACAATGTTGCAAGCATAGTGTACATTAAATGTACATTCTCCTGACTTTTTCACACAGAGTTGCACTCATTTACGAACCTAGAAAGAAAGAAAAGCGAGTGACCAGAATGGTGCTCGAACATGTGACTGATCGGTTCCGTGTCTGACATTTTACTGACTGAACAACCTCGGTCTCGATCACGATGACGATTCTGTGGGCTTGATTATGACGAAGAAGGCAATTATACGCTTTTGCGTAATTGCTTTACACCCATACCTGAAGAATCGGTCTGAATAGTGATGTACGGCGACCAAGGGCCAGGGCCAGCGCTTGTATAGGCTCTGACTCGACCCCTGTAGTTTGTGAACGGCTTCAAACCATTGATCTCAGCTCGGGTGTACGGCGTGCGATGGATGTGCGAGTCACCGGTAGCCCAGTTGTCGACGCCGATCAACTCGTACTCGTAATCGCTGATCTCGCCGTTGGTGTGGATACACGGCGGCGCTTGCCACTGAAGCAGAATTCTCTTGTCGCTGACCTCCGTTGCTTGAAAGGCTTGAGGTGATGCTGTTGGAACTGAAACGACCAGATAATGCATGGAACAATGAAAAAATAAAAATACAAATCTCATATCTACTACAGGTAATATGTCATATATGTAAAAATTTACTGTGCCATGATTCCACACAACAATTTATTTATGTACGAAATCTTAAAAGTTTTCGATGAGCGATCCGTTTTTGGAAATGAAACAATCCAAAGTAAAAACAATACTAAAATATTAAAAGTACAGCCAAGTAACAGCTGCATTACAACCTGCAGAATGAAAGCTTGGTTCTAATTAAAACATAGTTCCATGCCAACGTGCTTGAATTCCATTTAATACCACTAATGCGTGAGTAATGACGTTAGCAAGCAATTAAATACTCAACAGCACACAGCAACGAAACACGTTTCAGTCTCAAGGTTGAGAATACTGTAGTGTAGTTTCTACTTGATTGAACTTTCTATATTTTACCAGTACTTTGCTTTGCCTTATGTTACTCCCTGAAGACGGATAAATCGTGAACCGGATCACTCGGGATCTTTTACAAGTAATAAAATTGCTCCTTTCTTGGGGTTGTTGGCATAAAAAGGACTTTTGCAATTTTAAGACTACCAAGAAAAAATTTACTTTAGCTTCTAAAATATACATGTTCGTATTATTCGCTTACCACTTTGATCAGTTATGATTTCTTTCGAAACGATTTCCCCAGGGATCGTGGTTTCTGCCATTACGGTAAACTTATACCTTGAATTCGGATACAACGAGTTGAGGGTGATGTACGGCTCGAAGTTAGTTCTGGTCACTTCAGGCTGAGGCGCTTCTTCGCACTGGCCACTAAAGAAGAAACGCTTTTAACGATCAAATACTCAAGTCTCCCACTATGAATGCTTTCGCACCGTGACAGCAGCTGGTAAGATATCCGGTATCCTTTTAAAA